GTGGACACTGAACGTCCGCAAACACAATATATTTTGTGCAACAAGTAGAACGGTGGGCCGTTGGGGGGGGGAGGGGGGAGAGCATATGTATATATATATATATATATCACTCTTTACATATACATACATAGGCTACATAGGTGTATATATAGTGTATATATATATATATATTGCGTCTCCTAGACTTAGTCATGCTCAGACTGAAGCCTGGAATGCACCTTTTTGACAGTTTTGTTTGGGACTTGGTGACCTGGGGGAGGTCGCTCATTGAACAACATATCCATCATACAACTGGCCCCCGAAGTGCTGACCATTGAAACTTGCGGCGCAAAGACCATTCAGCATGCTGTTTGAGGCCAGTGAAGTCAGTCATGACAGGAGTAAGACGAAATGATGGAAAGTTTGAAGAAAAGAAATTGGTGATTAGCTGGAAAGCTACCTGCAGCGACGCCAACCTTCACTCGGCTACGATTTGTGCAGCAATCCTCCTGTTGAAAGGTGTTTGCCAACATCTGGCCAAACTGAGACGCCCTGCAACAAAAATGCCTTGGTGCTGGTTAAAATGAAAACGAAGGAACCCGAAAGGAGAAGGCAACCCAAAAGGACAAAAGGGCAAAACGGTCAGGAAAGTCTGGCAATGAGAAACGGTGACCCTGTTTGTGACCCTTGTCACCGAACGTTGCCTAGGCAGGTCCCAGAAAGAGCCCCTGAGCAAAACAATGCAGGGTTTTAGGGGGAAGTCCTCCTCCAAGTATGACAGAAGGAACCCACCCTTGATTCCCAGCCTTGCAGCTTGTCTCAAGACAGGGGAGCCCCAAAATACACCCCCACACCCTCCAAACCCACTAGAACAGGGGGTCTTGGTTACCAGGTTACCATTTCACTTTGAACGTAACAACGGTTCGCCTGGCGGCCATGGCAAGGTGGACAGGAGGGTATAACTCGTAGAATCCTCCTAAAATCGCAGCCCTCCTGGCCTTTGCAGGCAACGCTCGATGCAGGGCCTGCGGTTTCGAGGCGGCTTGAAAGCAGCGAGAGGGATCTCCACGCAGAACCGGGCAAATCACTAACCCCCTAGGCAGGTACCCGGGTGCGGGATCAAAAAAGTAGTTTAGGGATTTTTTTTAAAAAAAAAAAAAAAAACGACGCCCGGATCAAAAAATATAATTCTGGGGATCAAAAACTAATTATTCGTGTCTTGTCTAGATACAGACATCTTCCCCCATATCTTCTTACAAACATCTTCCCCCATATCTTGTTTAGACGTGGACGTGCCCTCATCTTCGTCAAAAAATATGGCATGGACTCACAACAATTGTGACGGCAACAAGCTGTCCGCGATGAGGGCGACGACAGCGTAACAGTCTTTGATGGAGATCCGGCGTGCGATATCGGGGCGCTAGGCTCCCGACACGCTGGTTGTACACAACAGCGTCCTTGTCAAAGCAAGCGGTGTACACGCACTCAAAGCTAACTCCGTGCTGGCTGCTTGCCATGTGCAGTCTGTGCAGCGCGGCGGGATGACCGAACAACGGGCATGGAGTCATGTCTACTGGCCTCCCGCTTGCTAATTCTGCTAGGAATGGGAAAATTACATCTCGCACGGCTTTAGGCACGCCAGCGATTTCTAGCGATGGCCACATGTGAAGGAGGACGCAGGAGTGCTTGTCATTGAGGAAGCGCTCACCTAGGTCTAGGCGCCCTGGGACGTGCAATTTTTTGCGCAAGGAGGGGCAGCCGCCTGCGTGAACACGGTCACCGATCTCTGCTTCCAGCCCCAGACGTGCTCAAATTTCTGGCTGCGTCCTAGACAAGGTAAGCTTCAATCGGTATGGCGCCCGTTGGTCACCGGGCAAGCGCCCTTCTATCTCACCCACGCTCAAGCGCGCAGCTTCCTGGAAAATGGCAGCGTAACCCTCTCCGTTGCGCAGCTTCGAATTCAAGTGCGGCCTCACGTCCGTAACGGTGAGGAAAGGCTTGTGCATATGCAGGCGTAGGACGCGGGCGAGCACGGCTTCTTCCGCGCTGCAAAGCGAGGCGGCCACGGGGTTGCCGGGGTTCACTGCTGCCCTAGTGCCTGCGCGCGCACTTATCGGCAAGCTCATCTCTAGAAAAACTATTCGCAAGCTTGTCATTGACGAGAGTAAGCGGGGTGCAGACAAGAAACAAGAGGACTGGATGTTGCGCCATCGTGGCGGGATGTTTGCTGGCTGGCGATCCGCGCGTCGCCCTGGAGCAGGGCTTGCACACCGTCCGCCTCCCTAGGCAAGGATTCAAAACTGCACTGGAAGAGACGGTTGGCGAGAATGTGGGAACCACAGCTGTACCCACATTTAGCCGCAGCCACTTGGCATTCGCCGGGCCCATCCTCTCTGCTTGTCTCGCAGCGCGCTGCAATTTTTTCCAGGGCGTGGCGTCTTCAGACTGAAGGGGTTGCCTGATGACGTCCGCGTCCATGCGATGCCCGACAGTTTGCGCAATGCTGAGAATTATATTGCTTTCAGGAAAGCAGAGATGCACTCGGCCGAGATTAGTTGCTCCTGGTCAGTCTCTCTGGCAGCCCCAGCAAAAAGAAACAGCGGCCGCCCCTCAAAGCCTTTGTTGCGCACGGGCGACCCGTGTCGGTATACGTGGTCCCAAAAATCGTGAACTGCGTCGGCCTGGCCGAGCAGCAGCATACCGAAATTAGTTGTTGGAATGTGAATCTGCTCTGGGCTACTTCGTGGGCCGGAATACTCAAGGAGGTGGCGCGGGTTCATGTCTCCTTGGTTCAAGTTCACGGGTGTCGACAATGAAAGGTCGGTCTTTAAAACCCATCCACAGTTGCGGGCATCGTCCTCTGGTCAAAAGGGGCTGCGTGTGGCACAAGCGACTGACGCAGACCTGGCCAGCCGCATGATGGACACTGAGGGTAAATTATTCTGGGCCTCGCCCGAGTGCTGGCTCGTGCTAGACACAGCGCACGCAAAAGGGTCCGACCCGAGCGACAGGAAAATAAATTTCCACTAATGGACTTTGCCGGCGGCTGAATCACAGATGCCTTGGATCATGCACCTAGGCCGTGTTCGACGGTCGGTCTTCAAGGGGTCGAATACGGCGTGGATGTCGTGGTGGCAGCACCAGCCGGCAAGGGAGTAATAAAAAGAAAAGTTAAACTCCGGCGCAATGTCCGCCGAGGCAGACACATGCGACGGCTAGCGGGAAAGGACACAGGCCTACGACATCCAGGGGAATGTCGCAAGCGTCCTTTACGGCAATGGTGCTGGCATGCAGTTCGCGCGCCCTCACAGCCAGCAAGTTGAGCTCTTCCTGGTACGTCTTCCAGGGTTAGCCCAAAGCTGGCAAAGCAGTAGGTGGGTGGTGTCAAGAAAGCCGCACTCACGCGCTGTCCCTAGGAGCCGCGTCGCCTTGGCGGGCAACTGCTAGATAGCCTGAGCGGATGCCATGGCGCGCCGACATGGATTTCTGCGACGAGCGCTGCCGCTGGGTGGGCGACAGCGGCGGGCACTGGCAGTTGCTGATCCACAGGAGCCGACCAGCTAGCAGGGACGGGCAACCTTCGCGCGTCGCAGCTGTCAGGAGGCGCTGCGTTGCTGGCGCTTGCCCGCCGTGGAGCCGCTTGCGCCGGCAGCCTCTGCAGCACGAGGGGTCTCGCGCGCAGCACAGTGTCGGACCGTGGTGAGTCTGTCAAGTCAACGCAAACCCGTGCTTGCCGCCGGTTTGACGAGCACGCCCAGTCCAAGGCTGCCTGCAAATTACCAGGAAACAAACGAGATGCTTCTTGAGCTAGCGCCGGGGGCACCTCACATTGAAGAAGGGCAGAAAGCACTGCATTATCGTCTGTGGTTTCTGGGTTTCTCACTGGCGTGAGCGGGGCATTGTGCGGATCCACGAAGACTCCGGCAAACATGGCGGGGAGCCAAACCTTTGCAGGACGCGCGCTGCTCGTTCGTGCTGCAGCTCGAAATTTAGAATTGCACGGGCGCAGTGCCTCATAGTGCCCAACCTGGCTGTCGTCTGACACTTTGTACAGCAAGCATGGCGTGGAGAGCACATGGCTTCATTGAACAATGCATTTTGCTGGCGCATGGACCACAAACAAGCCTGAACTGAAACTGAGAGGCGAAGCTTGCACTGTTGCATCCATGTGCCATTCCGTTATTGTCAGACTGCCAAGTTCGATAGAGTCTGCGTCTACGTGCGCAGCATTGCCGTTATGGCCGTGCAGATTGCGCGAACACATGCCGCTGGGGCTGATAAACAGCAATGCGCAGCACAGACCCGTGCTCTGCGCCATGCGGGTCTGCGGACAAGTGGCGATAGACACTTGCTTGCTGGCTAGCGTCTGACAGCAAGCAAGGCGTGGAGAGCATATGGTTTTGTGTTAGTACGTGTGGTGGAAACACTTGTGGCGCGAGATGTTCAAGGAATAGAACAATGCACTTTGCTGGCGCGTGGACCGCAAGCAAGCCTGAGTCTTCAGTGGGGTCCTCATCCGGCAGCACGCTGGCCGGCACAGAGGCCCTTCGGCCCGGGTAGTTGGCGCGTTCTCGCAGCGCGCTGCATTGCCTAGCGCTGCTTCCAGCTGCAGAACTATCTGGCTGGCGACTCTACGACTGTGCTTGGGTACGGGTTTTCTTCGGCAACTACACTCACTGCACTTTGCGCGGATGGCGGCAACTGGCTTCGCATGCCCTCCAACACGCAAGGGGCCAAAAAAGTGTAGCAACTGTTCTGCAGGGAGGCCCCAGCTGCGGCAAACACGGGAAGACACTGAACTTCTGAACCCCCTGCAGCAGACAACACTGTGTAAGACCTGCGGCGTTGTGAGGCTGAAGGGCCCGCAGGCACGCTTGCCCTGCTAGGCAGGCTCTCGTTCAGTAGCAAGCTAGCGGATTGATTGCGGGTCTGGCGATGGGGGGGGCGCAGCTGCTGCGCGGCATGAGTGGTGGAAGAGAACCTGGCCTTCTGGCAGCCTACGCTGAGCCTGATATGTGACAAGCCGAGCCCGGGGCCGTGCACAGCTATTGCGCCCGGGGATTCTGCCAGAAGCTCATGGGCTGCGACAACATTGTTGTGCAATGGGTTGCCTGCCGCGTCCAGCCCCTACAGCAACAGACTGCGCGAACACGTGCCACTCCGGCTGATACACGGCAACGCTCCGCGCAGACCCGTGATCCGTGCCTTGCGGGCTAGCATCAGGTACAGGGAAGTGGCGATAGACACTTGCTTGCATAACTCGCGCGTGCTCGAACAAGAGCATGGCTGCGCACAACAGCGCATCCCCAGGTACCCTGGGTTCCCCAGAATCCCCTTGATTTCCTAGCTATGTTGAACCCCTGCAGGTTGTGGTTGGGGCAAGTTGAAACCGTCTTAGAGTTGTTGTCAAACTGACCGCCCGCAGGTCGTCCAAGGCCAACAAGTTTGAAACCCCCAATGCTACCCAAGACTTTGGAACGGGCTCAAAGACTACAAGACCTCGACCTGAAATGAGGAAGCCCTAAGAGAAGAAGTGCTGAAAGATGGTCGCTTCAATGTGCAGGGGTTCCCTTCAAGAAAACCCGAAAACCCAAATGGAACCACCTAAGAAAAACAAACCGGACATCAAAGTCAAGGCCGCTAGAGATGCGAGCAGGTATACCGTACATGGAAGCCAATCTGGAGTGGTTTTCGCGGCAAGTGATCTGTTTTATGTGCATTTCTCAGGGTGATACGGTCCTCCGGATGAATCCGAAGTTGAAATTCATATATGCGCAAGCACACACGGTCACGCGCGCCTTTGGGGGATGGCCACATCACACCTCTGCGAGACCCCTTCTGTGTCCTCGAGGTTGGTTAGATGTAGAGCTTGAATCCGCGGTACTTTTGATTGTCCAGGTGCTCGGCATCCCTCACCAAGTCTCTTGGAACTGTGGCCAGACAAATGCATAAGAAAGCCATAACTGCCCTTGTCCCCCTTCCACCCGGTCCAGCCCGGCCCACGGATACGCACCTCTTGGGTCAAGGATTTTGTCCGGCTCGCAGCCTGCCCAAAGTTTAAAATTGCGCGGGACACGGGCTCGGCTTGTGACGCCTTACTCTCCCAAAATATGGCTGTGGGTCAAACATAGGTACCCAAAATGGAATAAGTGGTAACATGGACTAAAACCTGCGGTCCCCTGCATGGTGGTCTAATTTTGACCCATATCCATATGGAACCTGACAGAAGGCCCAGCATCTGGTAGGCTCTTACGTGCTTTGCCTTATTTAAGTTGGTAGACCATGCTATCAAGGCTGCAGAGCTTCAAGCCTGGTCTGTGAAGGGCGTTGTTGAACTTCTCCCCCTTCACAAGAAGCTCAATGATGCCTTTGGCACAATTACAAGAAGCTCAAGTATGGTTCAATTTGATATTGTTGGTGTGTGTGTGTGTTTTCCATTATTGAGGGTGCCCTTCTCACCTTCGTTTGAAGGGAAACAACCAGGACCACCATATTGTGGGGCCACTCCCCTCCCTGACACATACTCGTAGACCCATCTCATCCGTTGCAAGCAATTCAAGCTTTCACACAGGGCAAACGCAAACAACCGAGGGCAATGTGCTAAAAGGCTCTTGCACATGCCTTGAACTTAATTATTTATGTGGCTGTGGGTCAAAAATACGTACCCAACATGGAACCCTGGCAAACGGAAGCGTAGACTAAAACCTGTGTTCCCCTGTTGGCTTGAGTTTGAACAATTTCATGTGTTTGTTTGTGCTGAAAACGCTCGCCGTCACCTCAAAGCCCCTTACTTCCTGCCAAACTATCATGGGTTTATCCCTTGTTTGGGTTCCATGTTTGTCTTGCAGAGTCAAACCAAGCATTTCTACTCTGTACAAAAAACACTCCAGCTCGCTGACTGTGACAATCTCAAAGTGCTTCGCAAGTAAATGTGTGCGCAAATAAGAACCTACTTTGGGATAATTGTGAAAGGGAGACATCTTTTGTTGAGGAAACATCTAACTGGCGGTGATATTGAAATCCCACCAAGCCTTTTGATGGGCCTTCTGCCAGAAGTGTACCCCATGTCACTAGAAGATTGCCAATGTTTCTGGAGTGACAACTCCTTTTTTGGATGTCTGCTTCCATCTGCACTTGGGTTGGGCCAACCTGCTTTTGTTGAGCCTTACTAAACATCTAATCATACAGGACCTCCTTGTCGTTTCCCTTTAAACTTGCATGGGGCAGATACCCAGGGCAGAAAATAACAAACCTGTTGGCGGCAAACCAGGACCGCACCTCTGCCTGCTCTTCGTTCTGGTGGGTCTCCTCCCTCAACGCAAGCAGCTCCTCTGCCGCGTCCCTGGCGCGGGTTGATGGGACCGCGGGCGGGCCTGTCGCGCACTTGACAGGCGCCGCAACACACATGTTTCCAACAATGGTACCAGACTTCCCCAAAGCATCGCGGCACTGTCACACCAAAGGTAGAGGTGCTGTGCTTCCCTGAGGGCTATGGCTGGCACAAATCAGAGGGAGGAGGGGTATATAATTGGAACCCAAGATTGATCACTATCGGGGGTGGTCTCCCAGTGTGAGGGTGTCATTCACTTCGAGTAGTAATCCACAAGGTTGATCAACGCGGGGTCAACATTAACATCCCCAGCTACCGAGACCTGCATTCTGCTGATCCATCCAAGCGTGCTGTGCATGTTGCAGTGTTGATTTGAAACCGGAGACTTTGCCTCGGCAAGATTCGGGTGGGAGAAAAGTCGTCAAAGCTACTGAAAAAACGGTTGGATGCACCTTTTGCGATTTGCTCCAGAAGTCCCCGCCCAGTTGGATTTGCTCCCTTGGCACTCCTTCGGTACCCGTTTAATCCCCGAACCTGGGCTGTTCGAAATGAGGGGGTGGTCAATCCAAACCCACTGGCTGCTAAATAGGGGGCCTGGACTCAAACAATCATCCATCCCCTCTTGGGTTCCTTTCAGGGAGATTACACATGCTATTTAGCACCCTACTGGGAAAGCACGCAGGATCAAGTCCTTTGACCCCAGGGAAGGATTTTCCGCATCACAGGACCTACACCGGACAGAAGTGGTCATGGACCCAAAGCAAACAAAAAACAAACACACCAGCAAGCGCTGAGGGATAAGCCAAACCGTCTTAGCGATGGGGGGGGGGGGGGGGTAAGTTCGGGGTTCCCTAAACTTGCTCTTGCAACATCACTACCGAAGGAAGACTCACCTTGGGCCAAAAGGTGATGTTAACATCCAGCAGGCTTAAAGAGGGGAATATGCAGACCAGTATCGGTTGATGATAACACGTGCAATGAATAAACATGACAAATACGGTGGATGGACAAAATCCTGCACCGCTGAATTGTTGTGTAGGTCCTGTGAGCCCTGTGAAGCTTGGTGGCATGTCAGCAACATGTTCTCACGAAAAAAAGGCCCGGCTTGATTTGTCCGCCCTTCCTTCACTCCTTCCTTGCTTCCCCCACCTGATTGGATTGACCAAAAACAGTCCCCCAAAAAGCTTAAAGTGCAGGAACTCAGGGAGTGAGTTCCTTCCCTCCTGTGGTTTGTGCTGCTTCCTGACTTCACGCATTGCCCAAGGATTTTTTGGGGACCGTGGGGACCACTTGACCCTGGGCCCACTTTCGCCTGTACTCCAGCTGCAGGTCCTTCTGCGTCTGCAGCAAAAACTCCAGGCGATGGGCCACTTCTGAATCATCCGGCCTCCGGATGTGGCTCCCGGGAAACTTCATGCAGTGAACCCCTGACCCAACTAAATCACTGGTCCTGCTTGTCAGCTTTCTGAAGAGACTCCAGTTTGGGAGGATCATGTCTGCATGTCATGGGATGTTGAGGGGAATCTCAGAGTTTATTTCAGGGGAGTGGGAGTGGGATGATGTTTTTTGGGGAACATGTTTGCACAAAGTACTACACACGACCGCAGAAGTCGCCGCTTTGTGCCATGTGCTACTGTAGCATTGCAGCAGCGAGCAAGTGGCAACTACAAACCAGAATGAAACGCAGCACGCCAAAGATTGACAGCAGCAAGCAGCCAGAACTACAAACCATATAACGCAGCATGCAATAGCATGGCAGCAGCAATCTGTCGGAAACTACAACAAAACAACATGATGCACAGCATGCCAAAGCATCGCAGCAGCGAGCAGTGGGAAACTAACAGAATAGAAGCAGTCGGACATTCCGAAGCACGATGGAGCCCGACATGCACTAGCAGTGAAGCAGTTAGCAGCAGGAAACTACAAAGCGCAACAGACCGCATACGCAACAATTACAATGGAATGCAGCATGCAACTGTTTCATTGAGCCTGCAGTCGGTAACCGCGCAAACGGCTTTCAGCAAAGGTTTGAAACCGCAGACTTTGGCGGTTCCAAACGAGATCCGAACGAGACCCAAAGCAAATCTCCTGGGGCTCCTCAATCTGTACACCACATCACACATTGCAACCGGAAGTCGGGCTGCCGCACAGCCTGAACACAGCTGGCCAAAAGTCATGCCAAAGGGACACCGGGACACAACCAACACGAGCAACCAACGACACCCGAAACACAACCAAACTAGCACCAAAACACCAACAAAACGCCAGCGGGAAATCAGCAAAGTATTACCCGGACAGAAAACACTTCTTTTGGAACTCTGGTCTTGCCTTTGTTGCTTTTGCCCCTTCCCAATATCCTTTTCGAAAATTGGCAGGGACTGGTTCGCAAAGGTCAAGGCATCGAGATGCTTACGACAGCACAATTTGCCCCAAACCAGGGAGTCCAAATGGCTGCTCAATGTACCAGAATGGGAAATGGAACCAACCAGTGCCCTAGCTCTGCAACTTTGAGCCACACCCACAAGGAGAACCAAAAGGAAAACCAAAAGGAACAACAAAAGGAAAACCAACAGAACCAAAAAAAGGAATAACAACAAAGGACTAAAACCTAAAACCAGCGGTTTGCCCAAGCTCTGTAACTTTGAGCCACACCCAAATTGGGGCTGTCCCTTTGGTGTCCCTTCCTCCAGC